AGATAGTCCCCTACGTCACCTCAGGGACAGCCCCCACATCATCCAGAGATGTCCCCTCTGCCCCCTCACAGATAGTCCCCTACTGACATTCCTCAGGAAAAGGAACATCACAAAAGGACATGCAAAGATCTTACTGTTTTTAAATCTTAAGAATATATTAGGTAGTAAACTATGGGCTTGTGTGTAATAAAAAGGCTAAGAAAGAAGACAAAACTGGTGATTTTTAATCAGAATAATTTATGGGAATATTAATATTTATCAAATTGCACTTTAAAGAGTACTGACCTTTAATGTCTGTAAGAAAAACAATCTTCTGAAAAAGTCAATTAAGAAAGATTAAATTCTGATTATCTAGAAACAATGTATTTATCACTAACTGGACAATCATAATCTTTTAAATAAGCTTTTCTATTAATGAAAACTAAAACATGATGAATTAATAGAACCTTTGACAGTGACCACCCCCGGGCCTGTACACACTGGTCAGCATGAAGAGCTGCTCAACCAGAGGGTGGAGACGCACACAGGGTGCATGTCTGCTCTGCAAAAATCAGGTCAACCTAATGAGGTGGTCACTGCAGGGAGGTGGTCAGATGTGGAGGTTCCATTGTATTTGAATTAAACATTTGGAGAGGCTAATTTTTACCTATTTAATAGGAATAGCCAGAGGAGTCAAACTTTTTTTAAGTCAAAGATTTCATTTTTCTTAAGTGTATTATTCTTCATTGGTCTTTACTGAATTTCACTGTGAGAAACACATATCCTAGACTATGATCAGAATGCTAAAGAGACTGTTGGCATGATGGGAACAGGGCTTCCAGGGGAACAGGAAACTCTAAATACAGGTGATTATATAGAAATGGAAATTCAGGTGATGGGTGAGTGATTGTGTTTTTAAATAAGACCACTATATGGTGGTCTCCCTGGAAAATACTGGTCTCTGAGTTTAGGAAGGATTTGTCCTACTCTGATGTCACACACGGTGAGGGAGGTGGCCACTACCCTGAGGAGACTGAGGGCAAGAGCAGCTAAGGGCTCTCCAGGATCTTCAGCCGTGGCCACACAAAGGTCAGACTCAGGACATAATCCCTCTCTCTGCCTACAGCTTCCTCCCAGTAATGTTGCTGGGGAGAGGCGAGAGAGTGCTTTACCTCGGACTCTGGTACGTTCGCTGGACCCTGCTTGTGATCCGGGCTGGGAGCCTCCCTGGGAGCTGGGCTGGGAGCTGGGGGTGCTGGAGCTGGAGGAGCTGCCACTGCTGGTCCTCTGCAGGGGGCTGTCCAGGATGGGCTCGGCCCTCCGGAGGTCAGGGTTGCTGTGTGGGCGGGCAGTAGAGATCACCGATTACTCACTCAAGACCTCACCGATTTTGCAAACCATGCATCTGCTAAGGAGTTAATTTCCAAATATATAAGGAACACAGCTCAATAGCAAGGGAACAACTTAAAAATGGGCAAAGGGCCTAAACAGACATTTCTCAAAAGAAGCCGTACAAATGGCCAACAGGTATATAAAGAAGCGTTTAATGTCATTAATCATTAGGGAAAGCAAGTTAAAACCATAATGAGAGGCTGATCTCAGTGGCTCACACCCATAATCCTAGCACTCTGGGAGGCTGAGGCAGGTGGATTGCTTGAGCTTGGGAGTCTGAGAGTGAGACCTCCTCTCTATTAAAAATAGAAAATTAGCCTGACATTGTGGTGGGCACCTGTAGTCCCAGCTACATGAGAGGATAAGGCAGGAGGATGGCTGAGCCGACGAGTTTGAAGTTGCTGTGAGCTGTGATGATGTTCCTGAACTCTAGCCCAGTTGACAGAGCAAGACTCTGTCTTAAAAAATCAAAAAAACCCAATAACGCCTCCCAATCCCATAGTGAGTTACCACCTCGATCCTGTGTGAATGGCTGTTATCAAAAAGACATGTCAAATCTACTAAGGGTAGAGTATAAATGTCATAACATAATAATTAAGAAAGTGCGGTAAAGGCTGTGTTAACCAGTTTGTTGTTAAGTACTTCAAATTGTATATAAAACTAGCACATTGTACCCCATAAATGCCTAATGTACATAGCTAGGATTTTATAAAGGAAAAAAGATCGCAAACATTGGAAAGGGTGTAGACAAACAGGAGTCTTCTACGCTGTAGTTAAGAATGTAAATTATACTCTGTATAAATGTCTTAACACAATAATTGAGTAAATGAGGTGAGGGATATAATAACCAGTACAATGTAAGCACTCTAAACTATATATGAAATCAGCACACTGTACCCCATAAATGCATTAATGTAGGCATGATCTATCTCTTTATGATTTAATAAAGAAAAAAATGTAAGTTAGTTCAGGCGGCATGGAAAACAGTATGCAGATTTCTCTAAGAATAGAATCATCACTAGATCCAGCAATCCCAAAGTACTTCTGGGCATATATTCACAGGAAATGGTATCAGTGTGTCAAGGAGACATCTACACTCCTGTGTTCACTGCAGTGTAATCACATAGCTAAGATATGGAATCAGACCAAGTGCCCATCAGTGGGTGAATGGAGGAAGACAACGTGATATGTATACACATATAAATGCACGTTACAAACACGCTCATATGTGGAAACTAAACATGTCCGACTTTCAGAAGCAGAGAGATGGTGGTTACCAGAGAAGGAGAGAGAGTGGGGGAGATGTCATAGGTGCAGTTTCAGGGTAAGCTAGTTCTAGGGTGCACCACAGAGGCTATAGACAATAACAGCCCACACTTGGAAAGTGTCCAGAGAGGTCTTAAATATGCTTATCACACACAGAAAATAATAACTATATGATGTCAAAGGTGGTGGATGTGTTAATTAACCTGGCTGTGGTAATCACTTCACCATGTGTTCATGTGTTAAAATACTAGGTTATGCACCATAAATAATACAGAATTTTTATTTGTCAATTATTCCTCAACAAAGCTAGGAAGAGAAGATCTTGCTATTGATGAACACAGCACCCTAGTCCCAGTGTGAAGGGGTGAAGCACATACGGGTAAGACATTGCCCTGAGGGGCGACGGGAACCAGGGTCCTGCCTCCTCCACTCCAGATTTGGGGTCTGCGTGGGACGAACTCTGGACCTGGTTCCTGTGTTATCACACTAAAAGTACTAGCTCTGAGGTGGTGAATCTTCACGCAAAGCTTTCTTTTAAACATTTTTTCCCCCTGTGCTCACTGTGAAAAACTTGAAAAACATTGAAAGGTAAAAATAAGGAAACAGCACATGTACTCTCTGAACCAGGAGATAATAATATTTTAGTATTTGGTATATTATCCTCTAGGTTTTTCCTTTGCACATGTCAAGCACTCTGTATATTGCTTTGCAACTTGTCTGAACATTTAATGGTAAACATTTTCTCATGCTTCTGACGATAACTGTCCCTTAAGGAGAAGAGTTAGTTTGATCATTCTCTATGGCTGGACACCAAGGAGCTCCCAATACATCTCCGTGACATCCGGCACTGAGATAACCATCCAGCTGCACACAGACACCCAGCCACACCTCTACCTCCTGGAATTGGAATTGGTGGGTGAAAAGGCACAAACCAGGTTGTGTGTGCGCACGAGTGTGAGCGTACAAAGCACCCCCAGCTTGTGCTGAAGAGCCACGCTGGCCTATCTCACTCAACTCTTACCAGGTTGTATTATGCAATTTGCTAAATTGTATCTCACTGCTTAAGCAGAGTTTTTAAAAAAATTGCCAATCTGGTAGAATGGAATAATTCTTATTCATGTTTATTTGCCATTTATAATTCCTCTTCTGCAAACTACTTAAATAACACTCATACGCTCATATGCTAATAGAGGCTTTGTATTTATTATTGTCTTGCAGGAAGTCTTCACATACTTAGGTTATTGTCATAGGGAAGCTGATAATTCTTATAAAATGCTAACTCAGGAGCAAATTTGTTTACTGGCAGGCTAGGAGCCCTCAATTTAAAAAGATCTTTCTGTATTATTTATCTTCTTATCTTTCTATCCCCCAAATAGCATTATCCACTCACTCAGATGTCTTATACCAGGCATTTGAGACACAGTGACAAGAAGACCTGGCACTGTCCCTGTGTGCTCAGCTGGACACACAGCCCCATTCACTTGCACCCCACTACTCTGAGAACAGGTGATGTGGGCATGACAGGACCACTGAGGCCACTTTCCACAATCAGGGAAGCTGCAAGGGAGATGGGACAGCTAGGCAGTTAGGTAGGACAAAGTTGCTGAGGTTTTTTGATTTTTGCTTTAAAAAAAAACATTCTCAAAGCTTCTAAAAAGGTTTTCCTTTTAAATGTATAACTCATAGGCCTTTTCACTTTACGGTAGATGGGCACAATGCTGGGTGTGGACAATTTAGTAAGAACCCAAATCAAAGGTCAGCTCTACTACCATCCATTGCTGGGGATGGGAAGTGGGGGGTGGAAGGGACCTGACCCCACAGTGACCTTCCCTCCTGCCCAGCATCCTCATTTCCCCAAACAGAACCTGCTAATAGAGTCGCCACAGTGCTAAGATTTTAATGCAATGAGATATCACAGTAAATGTAATTTTATGCTTTAATTTTGCTCTGCCCAGTCAGTTAAAGAGCACCAAGTTTGTGCCAGGAATAAAAGGTGGGTATCATATGTTTCACAACCAGCCTGAAAACAATGTGATTCCTTTCCTTGAGATGCTTGTAGTTTAGTTCACGATAATCTGGTCACAGATTTATCTGAAGATAAAATGGCATCTTCATAAGCAGTAGTTAAACCAAATAACTTCTTTTTGTTTTTTTGGCTAGGGCTGGGTTTGAACCTGCCACTCTGGCATATGGGGCCGGTGCCTTACTCCTTTGAGCCACAGGCGCTGCCCCAAATAATTTCTTTTTGAAAACACAAGACTCTTGCTTTGTGGTAACGTATTTGCCAAAAACATTTGAGTAGAAATGAACAGTGGCCCTGGAAAACTTAATTGGAAAGCATGAAAAAATAAATATGTTCTTATAATTAATTTTCATCACAAAACGCTGAACTTATGGCAGTAATTATCATTGCAAATTTTGTACTTAAAAGGGTTGCTAAGTCAAACTAAAAGTAATTGCAGAGTGACCAATGAAAAATTAAGAAAAACTTATAAACTTTTGATATTTTAAAGGCATTCCTTTGTATAAGAACTGTTTTTGTGAGAATTGTTTGTATCAAATTGACTGATGTGTAGATTTGGATCCATATTAGAAATGCCCTTGATTTAGAAAGTACCTAAAACACTCACTGAAAAGCACTTCTAAAGTATTCTGTATTTCAAACTTTCTATTTTTCATAAAGAAACAACCTCACCTCCTTTAGTTCTCAAATAATGAATGCTTCCCTACTGCCCTCTTACAGTAAACAGTAGTACCCCAAATTATTATGCATAATTAATAAATTAAAAAAAATATTTTTTCCAAAATGCAGTGCTACCCGAGTATCTTGCAGACTAAGAGTGACAGGCACGCTGAGATTCCTGGGTGTTGCTCTCATTTTGTGGAATGGCAACATAGTTAGTGCTCTTTGTACTACAAAAAAAAAAAAAAAAAAAGAAAGAAAGAAAACCTGTGAGAGGCAGCTGGGGACAGGTGCTCTGAGCATCTTCCCCTGGTGGCTGTGAGCAGACCCAGTCACCTGCTCCACTGCAGCCCTCTTTTGATCATTTAGCCAAAACCTTTTTACTAAGCACCTATTTTATAAGACTTGCTGGCCCAGGAGGAGAGATGGGGGTAAAGCACAGGCCACACGCCACACAGTGAAGTCCCAGCATGATGGTGGCGATGAGGTGTGTGCAGCAGAGCCAGCAGGAACATGGAAAACCCTGTACGTTGTGCGTGATGCCAACACTGTGAACACTACTGGTGTTTGGGGAGCAGTTAGTGCCAACTGGAGTGGGCAAGGGTATGAAGGAGATGGGACTCGACCAGGCCTGCAGTAGCAAGCAGGAAGCTGGGAAACAGCTTCAGCAGAGACACAGGGATGGTTCCTGGCACTCACGGACTCAGAGAGGGCAGTGGCTGGAGGGAGGACTGATCCCGTGTCAGGAGACAGCGGGAGAGTGCTGGGGGGCCCAACAAGGATTGTACACTTCCCATGGTGGGCTCAGGCGTGGCCAGGAGAGAAGAGGCTAGGCAGGAGGCTGCTGCCTCAGCCAAGGACACAGCCTGGGAGGAGCAGGTGTCTGACAGGGCTCCAGCCTCTTTCTGTGTGAAGCTAACTGATCCCACAGGCATCAGACCCCCAACCGCAGCCTCACTGGTGCACACTCTCCACAGCAGGGCGCTATCTGGGCAGCTAGAAACTGCAGGACATGTTTAGTCTCCACGCACTCACACACAGAAATAAGGAAAACTTCACAGAACCTTTCAACCTAATTTTTTTTTTTGGTAAAATATGAGTAGTTTGAGAAAACATTATGCTGTCTATATTTTCTCTCTCTTATTATGTATTAAATGGTCTGTGCTTTGGGCCAAGGGGTATGAGATAAATGTTCTTAGAGGGGATCAATTTCAGAATATTTCCATAATGTAATAGATATTCCTTATTCACAGATAACTGAGCTCATTCAGATCTAAATGAGGAAAAACCTGAAAACATCCAAGTGGATGTATTCAAACGTTAACTTTGAGTCCAGACATTTGCCATTCTGCAGACAACGCTGTCTGGTCTGTAAACACACAGTTAAGTGAAAATGTGGCAATTATTCCATTCATTTGAATCATAAAAGTTGAAACAAAATTAAGATTACAAAGTAATTTTGTGGCCCAAATACTTGAGCCAAGTCTTTAATTAACTGGCTGACTGCCAAATTTCACTTTACTTTGTTCTTTGATGACACATCAAAGAGAAGAAATGAGTCCTAGGAGAACAGGTTTAGGACGGGACAGGGGGTTAGTTTTTGAAATTAAGCATTTAGTTGCTGGGGTTTTGACTGGCTCTTTCTGGATTAATTTACATCTTTTCATATTCTGAATGTACTTGATAAAATTTTAATTTGCTTTAAGATACCACATGAATCAATGTTAAATATGAAAGTGCCTGGAATTTTTTAAAATAATTTTTAAAAATAATCAAATCAAATCTTGATTTAAACTCAACTGTCACCTCGATGGCACGAGGCACGTGGGAGTCTGTTCAGCAGGTGAGAACTGCCTGCCGGTCCTGCAGTTTGAGCAATGTCCAGCTGAGGACGCATGAGGATATGTGTTCAGTGGTGACAGCTGCTCACTGACCCTGCAGTCTGAACAATGCCCGGCTGCGGACACATGAGGACAGGCAGGGGCAGGTGTGTGGTCATGGCAACTGTGTGCTCAGCAGACTCCAGGAAACGTGATGGTATTAGTCCCAGCTCGAGTGGGGACACGTTTGGGATATAAATGAGTCTCACAGAACAACTTTTTAAAAATGGTGACTATCACAGGCTAAGAATGAATAACTTAAGATTAAGAATTGCTCTTCACTGACTCACTAAGCCACACAGCGTGGAAGGTGAGGGCAGAACGGTGGCGTGTTGGTGTAGAGTGGGATTGAGAGTGGGGACTTGGTGCTGCCTGCCTCAGTTCAAAACAGTGCTCCAGAGACGCCTATCAAGTAAAAAGTGGATTATCTCCCCTGAACCAAGCAGGGGGCAGGGGCTACACGAGCTGCCCAGTAACACTTCTGGAGCAGCTGATGCCCACCCAGCCGTGCCTGCCCCTCTACAGGGTATGTTCAGAACCTGCTGTCAGGCTCTTTGTGACGTGGTGCAGTGTATGTAGACAGAGGGAGGGTGACACACAGGGAGGTGTCCCTGGAGCAGGAAAGGCATTCAATGCAGTGAAGCTTCACTGCTGTCTTTAAATTACAAGTGCATATTGACACCACTGCCCATTTTAACTCAAGAGTCTTCTAGTCAAGGATACTAAGTCATTTATTAATTTATACATATTGTTTCCCAAATTATCTAAAAATACCACATGTCCTGTGGTTGCTATAGGACATCTTGCATTGAGTAACTGGAATTTATTAGTGCTGAACACAGGAAGCAGAGACTGAACTTCTCAAGCATCAGGCTCTGCCTTTTTCTCCTTTTTAAAAAACTGGCCTCAGCATGACAATGGCTGACTTCTCACTCATGTCACAGCACACAGGTGAACTGCAGCTGCCCTTGACAATTCTCCAAGTGGTGACTTGGGGGCCCAGGTTCCTCTACGTTGAGACCTTGTTACCTTAAACTTGTAGTCCTCAAGTTTGACATAGGAGGAGAGAGAGGCTCTGCCTCTTTAAGTAAGGTATTTCACAAAGTAATAATAAATTGAGACAAGACGTATAACCTTGCCCCTAATAATACCTGCAGGCCCACAGAGCAGCAGGGACAGCAGGACCCTGAGGGCCTAGAGTCTCCAGCTAGGGCCTCGGGCCACATGCTGCCCTGCACACAGCTGGGCCTCAATGTACATTTTCTGAATTTAGCAAATGAACTAAAATATTAATAACAAAACATCTTGGGTCTGTCCCATATCAGCTATGTAATTTTTACTGGAATCTATTCTGAATCTCTCCTGGGAATCACTTCAAAGAAGAGGCTGGGAGGAAACATGGACCAGGCACAGGAAACATGGCTGAGAACACTGCAAAGGATGAATAGTTTGGAAGTGATCCTCTAAACAGTGGGCTTATGAATGAGTGGTTGTCTGACATACATATCAGAAGAACTATGAGGCTCCATGGGGACCGAGAGAACGTGGGGAGGCCCCAGCACAACCTGTCCCTGGGTGCCCGTGCCCTGTGTGGCTTCTTCCCACAGTGACTCAGTATATGGCTGAAAGGCCTGGTGACCAATGGACATCAGGAAAGATTATGTGAGCAGAGCTTCAGAAGGTCTGGAACACTGGGGCTTTCATCTTGAAATGCTCTAGCACCAATGGCAGAGAAGTCCAAGAAGAGAGAGCAGGTGGAGAAGGGCATAGTGACCCTCCCTGTGGCTGCAGGGGGAGCTGGGGAGGCCAGCACAAGAGCCTCCAGCCAGCCCATGGGCTGCAAGGGACAGTGAGCTGTTATTCTTTCAGGCCTCTAAGTTTGGGGTGGTTAATTATGTGGCAAAGATGACCTAAAGCCATCTCCATCACAGTAAATGAACCAAATCTTGATGCTTTTAAAACTGGGATCCAATCTAGAGCCACAGGGTCTGACTCACATCTTAAATGCTGGTCACATGGAGGCTGGGCAGACATGGGGCTCTCTCTCCACTCTGGCTCCCTCATCTTCGACTTTCACTGTAGGCAAATAATTATTAACTCCTAGCTTACTCCCTCCCCCTCCTCTGAGAGTAGAAAACTGTTACTCATCTCTTATAAAGTTGCCATTCTTTGGACAAAGTATAATGTTTAAGTGATTCCAAGAGGAAAAGCTCATATTTTGATCATTAAATATAATTATTCTAGGCCTAAGTGTCTTTAAAAATAGTGCTTCAGAGGAAATAAAAAGTGGTTATTTGACAATAAAATGGTAGTTGTGTTTATTTTTGGTCAACAGAAGGAAAAAATACTTAATGCTGAAATAATACTTGATCTAAAGCCACTAAAACTCTAAGAAACTGATCCAGAGAGCAGATCCTCAAGGGTAGGATCAAAGGTGCACACAGTGCTGATAATGGGGGACACTGCTGCTAAAGGTGGGTGAGAAGGTGCTCACAGCCCTCGGTGGCCGGGTCAGGGTGACCCTCGTCACACTGGGTGCTGCTTAGCAATCCCAGCTCAGAGTGAACCTGACGCATCTCTGGGAGAATGGCGGTTTAGAGCCCCCCATAGGTCACTGCCCTCAGACAGGCTGAGCCGTCTGGGAACCCTAAGGGCACCCGGTTCCAGCTGCAGGTACTTAGGGACTGAGCCCTTCCTAAGGATTTTCAAGTAGAGAAGACAGCCCATGCTTATGATCAAAAGCTTTGCATGCTCCAGAGATAGATACATGTCACCCTAAGCTTCATTTCCAGTCTGTCTTTCTCACCAGCAAAGTGGGGTCCCTCTCCGTGAACACAGGGAGAGGGTAGCCTTCCCAGCTCTTCCTTTTCACTTCCCAGTTTGTCTGCTGCTCTGGGTGACCCTAACAAAGGCTGTGTTTCCCACAAAAAGGGTGAGGGAAGACAGTGAGCTGTCACCACAGTGCACTTGTCACCACATGGGGTCTGCTCAGACGCTGTACAGGAGCTGTTTACTGGCTGCTCCAGCCAGTGGGGCTGGGTGCAATTTCCTGACCATGCAATACCCAGTTGATGGAACATTTTGGAAGGAGAACACAGAGGAAGAGCAGAAACTGTGCTCAGGGACCTTCTGTGATGCCTTATGGTGACCTCCTGACCAGGGACGGCACCTGCGTGACTGCAGAGGGAGGGTTCTGGAGCCATCTGGTTACTGCTGCTGCGACATCTCTGTGCTGCCACAGCGCTTTTCTTACCTGGTGCTAAGAACCACCACAGAACAGGCCATGTCGTACTGCTGACCCTGTCAAATGGCCTTGGAAATAGTTCTCTGGGGCATTGCAACCAGATTTGTATTGGTAACTTTACTCCTGGGTTTGTGAACTGTCAGTTGAGGTGCACCTGAAGGCTCCCAGGTCACCCCTCACTCACTCATGAGCCCCCTGAACACTGGCTTCTGGGAGAAGCTGCTGAGGAAGCCACGGGCCCGTGACCACCCAGAGACGCTCACAGTCCACGGGGCAAGTCAACACTCCTCCAAGGTGAGAAAGAGCATGGCGTCCCTAGGACAGCAGTGAGGGTGGACGTGGGCCTTTCCCTTTCTCCTCCACCCACTTCCCTCCTTACCTTGCTCTGATGGGCTGAGATCCTAGCCTGGGTCCCAGAGCACTGCCGTTCCCAGGAGAATTCTTTCTAGCTAACGCTGGCGATATAGAAGTTGTTCTTTGAGGCACCTGGAAAAAAAAAGAATTCAGAAATATTTTCCATAAAATCACTTCCAAAGCTACTGTCTAAAAATCCCTTCCAAATACATGGTGGTAGTTAGAGGGACTCTCTGAATTAGGAGAGAACTTGCCTCTCATTCCTCAAAGAAATATTAATATACAATATCTGCCACCGGCAAAGGACAGAGAGGCAAAGCCAGCAACCATTCAGGAAGGTCAGCCTCTGTCTCAGAAACAAATTCACACAGGAAACCCACAGGTTTGATTTACTGGGCTAACGACTGACCTCTTCTGGTCAGGTAGAAGCAGTGAACACCAGAAGCTACATCAGATGAGAGCTACCAGACAGACCAAGTTCCACCTTCAGCCCACATTGTAACTAACACATAGGGAAATAATGACACGTGGCGAGAAACTAGGATATCAGACCAGAACTTGGGACATAAGTCATGTAACCGGGGAGCTCGGTGCACCTGCTGCATCTTACTGTTCCTGATCAACTTGTAATTCCTGACTGAAACCAGAAGCCAAAGGCGCTGAGCTCTGGTCAATTAGCAAACACAGGGCAACAGAATACTACGTAGGGTCAACACTGACAATCCTGGAAGGGTCTTCACAAAGGCCGTGTGAGCGCCGGTAAGACTGCGAGGTCCAGGAGGAACATGTATTCTTAGCTTATCTGGCAGCAGCCTGAGGTGGAGTTCAGGTATGTCTCATTTCATGGAACACGCAGACATTTTAAAAATGAAATCAAATATCACAAGTGTATCAAAGGGGCCCATTATTTAAAAGAATCCTTTTATGAGTCCTAGTACAGAAAATTACTTTCAGTATAAAGTGTCATCCTTTGTCTGAAAAATTAATTTTTATTATAATTCATTTTAACATAACGAATGAATTGGTAAAGTAAAAAGGCCAAATCAGTACTACCACCTGTTCAAATTACATATTACTATTATTCTTTTATATAAATATAAATATTATTAACAAATTATTCAAAACCTAAGTTTTCAAAGTGGTCTAAAGATTTCTCCCAGCTTTGTAGATGCGTGCTGGCAAATTTTCAGAGTGGGGTGTAACTTCCATCTTCAGTCTCTTCAGCTACCCTGTCTGCGCCCTGACCACTCTACTTCCCATATTAAACTTGGGTTTTCTGATGCCATTTCTGCTTCCACAGAGAAGGAAAGAACACCAACAAATTATTGGCTGACTTTATTTGGGGACTCTTTGTTCTAATATTCTTTTGAGAGGAAGACGAGAAAATATTTATAAATCACTCGGTAAAAATTTCTGCTTTTTCTAGAATAATGGCATTATTCTTGGAAAGTGTGGAATATTTCATTTGTCACACTCCTGTGCTAAGCTCAGGCAATAAGGGATTCCTAAACCAGGAAGAATGGTGCAAAAATTTCTACAGTGTTTTGAAACATTTCTAGGCAGTCTGCAGCCTGACACACAACGACATTTGAGAAGTTTTCTTACAATGGGCAAGGACTTGGTACAGGAAAAGAAAGCAAGACAGCATGAGCTTAGGGCTGTTCTTGTCCAGGGGGATGCCTGGTTTTACCTTTAGTAATAAATTAAGGCTGGGGTTAAACAGACTTAGCCTGGAAAGAGCTTTACTTAAATTCAACTCATTTATCCTCAGAGCAATACTATCTTCTGAAACCCCAAAATCTGGTTTTGCTTTGTGTTGTTAAAAATAAGAATAAATAAATTTTCTACTTTTTATCTGGAAGCTTTCGGTTTGTCTAGAAGTAGACTCAGTCATCAATAAAAATATCTGTTACTCTATTTCAGTGCCGGTTTGGAATGGATACAAACTTCCAAGACATATGTCCATGAGAGCCTGAGTTTCTTTGGGGAATGAAGGTCAGCAGTGATAAATGACAGTCTGTGTCTTAGCTTGGGAGTGAGGAGGACAGCACTCAGGAGAAGGGGACACTGTGGACTGTCCCGTCCTTCATTACCGGGAAGGGTCTGGAACTGTGGTGGGAACAGTAAACAGGGATGATGGAGACCCCAGAACACCCAGTGAGGTCACCTTTGGTGGGATGTCTTCTTCCTGCCGTAACCAAGAACTTCGGTCAAACTTTTCAATGCGAGTCGGGAGAGGAGGGTTTTCGGAGGTGGGGTCTGAGTTCTGGCGAGGCATCTCAGCACGGTGAGAGGTCACAGCCAGAGCCTCCTGGAAGCCGGAGAGGCCCTTGGTGGGCTGCTCGAGCACCGACTGGGAGGCAGTTAGGGCTGGGCCCTGGGGCTTCACAGCTACCAGATGTGGGATCTGAGGGACAGAACAATAGTGGGCAGCATGATTAGAAGGAATCGGGCCAGTCAGAGTTACCATCAGGTAAAGGGCGAAAGAAGCGCTTAGGGGACAGCAGTGGGACTGCAGGGAGCTCGTCCTGCCACCTCTAGCACATGTAGCAGCTCTTCACGGCCTTCCCTGAGGTGGGGTGTAGGGCTGAGTGCTGAGAAGTCCGTGATGACACTAATAACTACCACGCACTCCGTGAGCACTGGCTGACCTGCAGTAGGGCAGGTCTTATGAGCATTTCTCTTCTAATATCACAAACTTCCTCCTCTAACCACCTCATCTGGTCAGCAGGGCTGAGTGAACCAGGAATCTACATTTCCACCAAGTTCTGGGTGATGCTGGATGCTGTTGGTTCAGTGACCACCCTGAGAACCTCTGGCCTAGAAGACATACATTTACTTAACCAAGTCTTTAATTTTTCCAGTTTCATGATCGTGTCCAAATCCCAAGTGTCAAAAGATTACATATTTTTTGTATATAGACGCATGTACACACACACACACACACACACACCCCTCAAAGAGCTGTATGAATTCTAGCTTTGGAATCATAAACAAGAGGATGCTTGTTCTCACCTGGAGGAAACCCCTGTGGGTCTTCAGAAAGGCCAATTGACCAAAGATTCACTTTCCTCCACTCTTCAAATCCAGTGGGCCTCATATAGCACCCTAAATTCCATGTGAAGGGTCACACCCAGGTTGGTCCTGTGCCTGAATCTGGGTTTCACTGTATGCCCTACTGGAACCCTGAGGGGACAGGGGACAGGACGTACCTGGGGGTCCACCGGTCTGAGCATGGGGGGTGTCCGAGCAGGCTGAACTCCACTGATGCTGAAGGACTCTGACCTGGGGGGCAGGTTGGGGTCAGAGACCCTGTTGGCAACTTTGTGAGGCATGGCCGGAGAGCTCTGCCGGTTGAGCCTTGACCGCTCTTCAACCTAGAACCAAGAGAGAGACACCTCACTGGACTGAAGCTGGTGCATCTCCTAGTAAGGACCTTTTGTGGGTACCCATACAACCACTAGAAAACTCTGATCAATTCACTTTAAGAAGCCCAAACTCTATTTCTGCTCTCTTTCAAGAATGTGCAAAAAGTTCCTTTCTATCACAGCAAACACTAGGACAACGAAATCCCTCAAGAACACCTGAGCCATTGCTCTCCTGTTACCCATAATCTTGTGTTAGTTCCACTGGCTGCAAATCTGGGACCTGTTTAAAAATTTATCTTGCGTGGATTGGGATGTTATCTTGTTGAGTGGTCACACAGAGTCACGAGGTTCAAAAGGCAGACAGCTGTACCCCAGACACCCAAAAGGACAGCGGTGTGCACAGGGAAGGCCTGGGGACGTGAACCTGCACAGGTGGGGCCGAGCAGGCACTGAAGCCGAGTGTGCACCTGCACCTCCTGGTGTGCCTGGCTGATGGGTGAGTGGGTGACCAGGCTGCCTTCCTGGTGAGCACAGCCGCCCTCAGGCTTCCCACGGAATTTTCTTTTTCTCTCTTCAGGGGTCTTTCTTCCCAGCACCTTTCCTGCCCCTAAAACACATGCTGCTCCCGCTCACTCCTCCCATGCCCAGTGTGGACTCTACCCTGTGGCTGTCCCCTCCTGCCCTCCCTGCATCTCCATGGGGCTTGCTCTGGTCACTCTCCACCACTGGCCCCTCTTCTCTAGGGCCGTTTCATGTCCTGTCATTGTCTTTCTTCTAGAGTCTCAGCCAAAGCAGATAATGGATCACAAGTGCTTCACAGAGATTGTGTGCAGGACTAGCGATTGGCCTTTTTACAGGTAAAAATTGCCCTTAGCACATATTTACAGCACAAAGACTGTCTCAGAGGATAATTTTAAAGGGAAATTTTGATACAGTGTATACTGCAAGCCATGACGTAAGATCTAGGACAACATCCAGAGGTGTTGGGCTTTCCTCTCAGGCCTACAGCCTCCTGTCTGTTATTTCTTCAGGGTCAATTTCACCCTTCTGCTTCCCAAACCCACCAGGACAATGTGACCATTCTGCTCACCCTGATGGCCCTTAGAATAAACCCTTAGTTCCCTCCTGCTGGAGCACTGGCTGAATGTTGTAAGACCCTACATGTGGGCATCAATATTCACATCTGTCTGAGTTATTTTTTCTGCAGCAGCTAAAAGTTTTTTATGCATTTTACTACCTGATTTGAAATAAAAATTTAGAAGAGCTGTTTTTCCCCATCCTCCCTACTCCACTTTGAATCTTTCTAGGGGCAGAGTCACTCTAACATGCAGGATAAGGCTGTTTTTAGAACTTACATTAACCTCAAATAGAAAACACCCCTCTTGCCTCCACAGAGGTGTGATTTGAACATCTCTACCCCAGCATGGCTATGCAGGGCATGTGCAAGTGGCACTTCTGCTTTCAAATTCCATGCCTGGGAGCTCACCATGCACCAAATAAGATGTGCTGTAAATCTTGGCAGGAATGCAAAACAGAACATGTACACTGTGTATGTGCAGAAAATTACAACAGCAAGAAGTATCTGGCTACTCCATGGACCAAGAGCACAAAGCCATCTTTATTATTATTATTATTAAATCACAGCTGTGTACATTCATGCAATCATGGGGTATAAAGCCATCTTTGAGATAAGACCACAAAAAGCAAAAGTCCTGAAAAGACAGCACCAAGTAAACTGACACCAAGGCTTGCAATGCTTTTCCTAATGCCAGACTCTGTGAAAAGAAGGTTCATATTGCTAGATCATTAGAACTGGTCAAATATTATCCATTTTCTTTATTTCCAGGGAAGGTCACTAATAGATCAATCCCACGTACGAGTCCCTTCAATGTCTGCACCTTGCTATGCAGACCACCACTGTCTGAGCTCAGGAACCCCAGAGATTCACACATGTTTTCAGATAAATACTGGTTAACCAAACTTTAGCCCACTGTCCCACAAGTCAGTGACCAAATATATTGAGACAGTGAATAATAATTATTATTTTTAACTATAATTTATGCTCAGTTTTATATCCACACTAGGAGTAAGTATGTAAAAACAACAGCAGAGGCTGGGTGCCTGTAACTCAGTAGTTAGGGTACTGGCCATGTGCACAGGGGCTGGTGGATTTGAACCCAGCCTGGGCCTGTTAAACAAACAAACAACAACAACAACAACAAAAGCAGAAATATCTACCCTTAAGCCTCCATCTACAGCCAGGAAACCATGATCAAGATAAGGAATCCTTCTGGCAACTATTGGCAACAAAGCTGCAGCCTGAGCACCCGCTGCCAGTTGGACCTAGGCCACCAGGGCCCTAAGGCTGTCATTAGGGATGGACAGGTCAGAGAGCGGGGGATTGACATTCACAGGCAATTTGTGGGGCTAGTTAGTCCTATAAGGTGTAACTGATGTACTTCTGGTAGAATTTCCTACACTTTCTACCCATCAGCTTACATACTGAATCCCACCCTCCTGTTTCAGTCTGTACCCTTCTAAAATATATGGCATCAATAACTGCGAATTATTTAAGGAAGGGTCCAATATGTTGAAATTTCTTGGGTTGGAGTTTGTCCACAGAAGTCTGAAGGTCTATGAGAGGGTCCAGCGGTGAGCATCCAGCTACACACATTTTTTCAAGGAGACCTGGTCCTAAAGATGCTGGGAGGCAGAGCTGCCCATGGGCCTCTGCGCCCGGGGTCACCATGAGGACTGGAGCAAGGACATTAAACCAAACATGCAGATGTGCAGCTGCTCCTGGTGACAGGTTCAGGTACACAGAAGAGGCAGATGGCACACCTGGGTGTGGCCCTTATCATTATTTTGGTGCCAGGCAAGGGCCTATCTTTGACCCATCACAGCTTATGCTTGCTAACAGAGCAGGAGATGGTATCCCAGTGAGACCAGGGAGAAAGAATAAGAACATGTGTGATTAGAAACAGGGCCATCATCAGGGCACCCTTCAAGCTGCCCTGGGACATTAGAAATGTCCAGCAGGCTCTGACCTACCACTGCCAAGAAGATGCCCAGTGCCAGAAAGGGCACTGCAGAGATGCCAGGTGTGACTGCCAGGTGCTGTGCTTAACAGCAAAGGCGCCGCAGTGATGTGGGTGGGACTGTGAGGTGCTCCACCCAACAGCAAAGGCACCACTGTCCTGGGAATAGTGTCCCAGATGAGGGCATTATCACTGGACGTGGAGAACACATGGACTGACCTCACCACAACAGCCATTTTTCTCTTATTAAAAGGATTGTTTCATCATGAAAACTTAAATAACTTCAGAGAGGTGTGGATCACCTCTGCAAAAATGCTATACTATTTACTACAATATTATAGAGAGCAAGAAAAATAGTGGTGGTTCTAGAAATAAAACTGTGCTCCAGACATAGGGCCGGGTTGCCTGTCAGGGACTCAAGAGTGACGTCTGAGGCCTCAGAGATGCAGAAAGGCTACCCAAACATAGAAGACCTAAAAATGCTGATTGTGAGACTTTTTTTAAATTCAGGATAAATGTTTAAACATCTATAAAGGGAAAAACTGTCAAAGTCAATTATCAAATTGTTTTTTACATTTGAAAACAATTTCTAGGCTGTAGTGCCTCTTGTCACAATAATGAATGACAACCACTGAGAAAGAATTTCAGAACAAAATCATAGAAGTAATTTTGGAAGTGCTGCAGCAAACACACACTTGCTATGTCACACGGGTGCATTTCACAGCACGTCAGGCACACAGTGTCCCTGGGGTCCATGCAGGTCTGAGAAGGCCTTGCTTGAGTTAGAATGTGGTGAATCAAACACAGCTGATGGGAATCCCTTTTCTTCCCCCCAGTGAAGAATGGAGGTGACTTGTGCTTACTGGCAACACTGGAGAAAAATAAAAAAGTCCATAAATAACTCTGCAGTGCTCACCAGATGCTTTGGCCCTGCACCCACTGCTCACATGAGAGCTGAGTCCCCCATCCTCTGGCAGGACCATTTGAGCAGATAGTCACTGAGCAAGTTTGAGGACCCCCTTGTCAGGGACCTCCCGGCACAGGGAAGATACACATTTCTATGGAATGCTAAAGTGCAACCTCATCTAAAGGTAAGGCCCAGACTATTTTCCAGGATCCACTCCTACTGAACATTCCAGAAAAAGCATAGACCCATGTGAATGGGGGCATAACTCAGAAGTCATGAAGCAAACCTTTCTCAAGTGGAGCAGAGCTATAAACTCCCTATGTGGTAATGTAGGGGCCTCCCATATGAATCAGCTCATATATACTCACATACAACTGCGTTAGTACAGAGCAGGGTATTTCAAGTACAGAAGGAATTTCCGTATACAGGGATTTCAAAGTCCACTGGACCAATGAAATAAGATAACTTGGCCCCTACCAGATCATTGTTTGCCAAATAAAACCACTCTGACAATGGGTGTACACGAAAGAGCGTGGGAGAATGTTATAAAGACAGAAACACAGGCCAGGCCCAGGGCTCATGCCTGCAATCCCAACACTTTGGGAAGTGAAAATAGAAGGACCACTCCAGGCCAGGAGTTCAAGACCAGCCTGTGTACTATGGAAAGAAACTGAAAAATTAGCTGGTCAGTGTGGCAGGCACCTGTATTTCCAGCTACTTGGGAGGCTGTGGTGACCCCCAACCATAAAGGAGGATCGCTTGAGCCTAGGAGTCTAAAGAGGAGGAGACCAGTGATCACACGACTGCCCCCATACTGGGCAATAGAGTGAGATCATTTCTTAAAGTAAAATAAAATAAAATAAATTAAAATATAATGCCATACAGTACCCATGTAAACTAAGACTTCGGTCATTGGTGCAAAAGTGTTTTTAAAATGTATGTGGGGGGGCAGGGCACACAGGTTCACGCCTGTTATTCCAGCACTTGGGCGGCCGAGGTGGGTGGACTGACTGAGCTCACAGGTTTGAGACCAGCCTGAGGCAGATGGAGACCTCGTCTCTAAA